CTCGTCATTCCATTTGGATTCTAGGACATCGGCTGTGGATGCACATCGTCACCGGCAGCAGAAGTTTGCGTATCTTAATGAGGATCTAAAAGTGATTTCGGGTTGGGGTGAAAGAAACCAGATTCAATTCAATGCCACAAAAACCTAGGCATCGGTTTTCTCCAAAAAGATAAATGTCTTCGAACCCCAATTCAATAGACGTAAGAACAGACGTATATCTGGAGAGAAGTGTATTTCAAACAGCTCCTTTGAAATGGATCGTACTTGGCTACCCGTGTTGGAAAAAGATATGGATGGTGACGAACTTGCAAGATACTAATATGAGAGATTGAAAAAAACTGGTCGATACTTGATGAAAATCCATATTGAAACTCCTTAATACAGTTTATCGTATGATTTTCACTATAAAGGGTTTAACAAAAACGCCGACACGGGATTCGTTTTATAATAGCTTTCTCAAACGTTAATAATTAATACTTATTAACATATTAATGTACTATATCGGGTGTTACAGAAGTCAATCAATGACTGTGGAAAAACCATGGAAAGCCAAGCATGACTACTAAAAAGAATTCACATAACAAAATCCCCGGAAAAGTCAAATATAAGTATTTGGTATTTTATTGCATTAATTTCTTCAATTTTCTTTGACCTACTGAAGTAAGCTGCGTGGTACGTATCAGTATTTGTTTTCTACCGATTTTTTTTTTTTAAACTTCTTCAATATGAAAACTATAAAAATTGTAATGGAGAACTTTTAAACAGGTGTAGAAAGTGCGAACTCTTCAGTGAATCTATCTAAGTATCTGGATAGTTTCTCAGCTCTTTTTTTTGTAGGTGAAATGACTTTGACTTATTTCACATTTCTAAACTCCTCTGACATCGAGTTTGACATCTACTGAGGACGTTTTGAAAATGAATCGATTCGAAGGAAAACTGCAAGATTCATTGTTTTCCAATTCTGAAAACGGTGTCAGATTTTGGTATGTCTTTTTTTGACAGACAAAATTATTAATTACGACATATTAGTGATAAATTGAACATTTTTCATTGTGAAAAATCATTTGAATTCTGTGCCTTATCAGGGTGAACTAAAAAGTTTGCCCTTTACACACATGTATAAAGTTTTCCATAACAATTTTTACATTTTCCGATTTTGGAAGGTGACAAGACAAAACAAAAAAAAATAGTATGAATTTCATTTTGTTTAATTTGTTAATCAGCTATTTCATAAAATTTCATTTGAATACATTGTACAAGTACATGATATAGATTCAAAGTTAGTTCCAGCCTCATTTTAAACTATAAAACGAAAGCAAATGCATTGTTTTCATTGTTACATTAAGAATGAACGTACAATTCGCAGATGAGAAAAAATCACGTCTATTTTCACCTAAACCTCACCTGTTTTCCCAACCCTCTTATCAATTCGGACGTTAACCTCTTCGAACAACAATAATCACCTTGTTTGTTTTAGATAACGTTAAACAAAGAACACGTTTTGTGGAAAACGAAGCATTCCTCATGCATTAGCCAGATTATTGCACGCTCCTACCTACCTCAATAGGCGCGGCACACCATCGATTCTTTCTCGATAAGTCTAGACTCTACTAGACGATATTTTTTCCTATTTTCTCCTCTACGGGGTTGAAAAACTGAACTTAATCGTATCCTGTGTGAGGGGCAGAGGGCAAGTCGACCGTGTCTAATTCACGACATGCGATGTCACATAAGAAGATAAATTTCGTATTGAACCGTCACAAACCCTCCCCTCTGTGAATCTCACATGGAAGTTGATTTTTAAAGTGGCACGATAGGGAGACAAAACAAGTAAGATACGATATCAAAGCATAGTAAAAATCAACCAGTAAGTCCACTCCCACTACTTTCATTCATAAATTTATATAGTTCTCGGTGACCTCGAAACGAAGTGCGGAGCCAATTTCGATCCTTTACCATAAGCGTGCGCTCATACATCTCCCATTTCCCTAATCACTTAATAATAAAACAAACAACAAAAACCAATTACAAAAACTAAAAGTAATAATAACAACAGCGAATAAACTAAACACAATATCAATTTCCGACCGTTTATTGTAACTAATCCGATGCCCATGATAGCGTAGAATCCTTCGATACTACAGCACTGAACGCATTGGATGAGAATCCAATCCTAAGAGGAGCGGTCGAACGTCCCCGGCAACCCGGGCGGATTTCATGGTAAGAGTGCCTACTGGTTGTATTATTCTACTAAAGATGTAAACTGTCAGGGTCGGGTTTTTTTTTACCGTGGTCTGCAGGTTTTAAAGCCTGACGTTTCTTCTACTACCGCGGTAGACATCGAAGGCGATAAGGTAACGGTCGGAGTGCTGGAATAGTTCTCAACGCAAAAATAACATAGTTTTTTCAGGTTTTATATCATAGGAGAACGTTGTTTTGTTTGTATATAATTAAAGACAGGTAGCCACATTTTATTATTGTTCATTGCTTCTTCCTGTCTACTGAAATTATTCATGTGTTTCTATTGCCTCTATTGTAATTTTGGGTTTCATCAAGTTCCTATTTCTATTTCTTCTATTGAGATAATGTGAGTGCCTTCTTTCAGAGCATGTTTGGCGACAACTGATATCGGTTTGTCCAAGGCGACAATCTCTTATGCCATTAATCATTATCGCATTCGAAGATACATAAATACTCAACAAAACTCAAAATTATTCTCCAAGAATTTACAGAGAGGCAATAGAAATTCGAAATGACGGATAATTTCAATAGAAAGGTAGAGGAAATGAACATTAATAAAATCTGACTACCTATTCTTAATTGTAACAAGGTTATTCAATACAATTGAGAGAAACGAAGCCACCCCCAACTATGGTGATATAAAACCGGAGACAAATTCCAGCATTGTAGGGGCAAAAGAGGCATGCTCCTGAACTATGTACAAACATTAATTCCATACCTAAACAATCTTTAGAACGCTTTGAACTGAATATTGTAGTTTCTGTGTTGAGAACTACTCGAGCACTTCGATCGTTACCTCATCGCCTCTGATGTCTACCGCAGTAGAAGATGAAACGTCAGACATAAAAACCTGCAGACCATAGTCAATAAACCCGAAAAATAGTTTTGACATAAAGATTTTTTGATTTACTTTTATTTGCATTGATCTGCACATAGTATCCTTGTTAGTGAACACACGTTTTATAGCGATGCTCCTATATCTTTAACCCTGTCTTAATAGAACTCGACGTGTTTCTCCGCAAAATAATTGTATACGAAGGTGATGACCTCCTCATTTGATGAGAATGTCGTGCGCAATTTTTAGATGAGGTAACAAAAAAGTCACTAGGGTGAGTAAAAAGGTTGAACAAGTACTCAACACAAATTCAATTATGATTTGTGGCGTGAGATCTGCAAATGCAGCCATTAATATCAGAACTAGAGCGTCCAAAACTTAAAATAATGATATACTCCTAACCAAATCATAATAAAAATTACTTGAAGTTGGTTTAAAATGAATTTGAGTTGCAATGTTTTTCGTTTTCTGAAAATCATATAGAGATAGAGGAACAATTATATCGATAGAGCGATGGAAATGTGTACCTGAGACTGAATGCGGAACATAATGTTTACGTTTATTTCTTTGGGTTCGTTTCAGTAGGTACTGTATTTTGAGATGTTTAATTGTTTTTCTCTCTTTTATATAAAAAAATTCGAATTATTCATGAATTCATCTGAATGATGATACGAAAGTCCTCCGTCAACTGTTTTTTTTACTAATCGTAGTGGTTACAATTTTCTATGTGTATAAAAACCTCCCCCAAAAACCCACCAATTAACAAGTATATATACAAAACATCATACTCCAAAACAATAAACATAATTTTTTGTATACTGTTTTAATGTTATAGAAAATGTACGAATCCATTATTGAATTTACAAATAAAAATGTAAATTTAAAATATACCTTGGGCAAATTGGAATTTCTGTGGCTAAAAGAATAAAGTCTAATACAAACCCCTTCCTCTATCACGAACACTCGACCAAAAATTTGCTTATTGCGTTCTCCCTTTCCATTCAACTGTATGGTAAGAGGTTTTTATAACTTTACAGGATACTTTGAGTTTCACTTGAGTTAAGTACGTTACACCACTTAGCTTTGTCAAGCAAAAAACATTTCAACGCATCAGAAGACGACACAGAAAATACCAATCGTTTAGGATGGGTTCAATATCGACTTGAAGAGTGCAAATTTTTACCGTGCTCTGTACAATAATACGCAGTTTGATTTTCTTTGGGGCTAGTAACGTTTGTAATTTTTCAAAACGTTGAATTGTACAATACGATATTTACATACTATTTATCAATTTTACATATTTGAGATTATACAACACAAGATTGATAGAACTAAGTGGTCACTGTCAACCCAAACAAGACTCAGAGTTTGAGTTCACTAATAAGGACAGCACCACAGAGTTCAGATTTGTATATAGTTTTTCACAGATCTGACTAAAGAACACCTTTTAAATTTCTGTGGTACTCAATATGGATACAATATCTCCTCGTTAGTTTATATTGGACTGAAAGTAATTAGATATAATTTCAATGGGTCATAATAACTGAATTCAAATTCAAAATATCGTATCTGGAAAATGTATGGCGCAGATCAAAATTAATTAAAGTGCATGTATATTCTTCATCAGCAATGAAAATAGTAGTCTCTTTGTGCTAACAAGCTCCGTAAAACCTCAAAAGCGACGAAAATCGATGGTACAAGCTGAAAATATTATAGGCCCAAGTATACTTCCCTGGGACACACCTGAGAGGAAAAGTTTGAATTTACAGAGATGGCAGATGTTGTTCGTTGGCACATTTTACTCAATTGACTTCCGAAGAAGAAAATACCGTGTGAAAATAATACAAGAAGACTTTGCCAAGGACATGAAAGTTTGCTATCGACATTGCTAAAGAATCCGACTTATATTGACCGAACCACTCACCAACAAAAACGGTTGTAACGCCATCCTTCAACTCCTTCAGCTCCTTACCATCAGCATTTCCCACACTCAGGAAATCCGACAAGGATAAAGAAGAGGCTATCAAACGTCGCTTTTCTTCAAAATTCAAGTAATCCAAGCTGTTGCTGCGAGTAGGCGCGACGATGGCAACCGTCTTTTGTTTCGGAGGATTGTTTCCGTTTTTCTCGTGCATTTCGACGAAAATCCAACAAAACTAACCACTCGCGCACAAAAGGGGGTTGAAAACGAAATGCCTGAGCACAGGTACGAACGGCCATATACAGAAGACGACACCTGTACTAACGAAAACAAGAGACGAACGGTCACGTGAACGATGCAGCATAGTCATGAACGAAAAACTACGACGAATAACCGGGAGTTTCATTCATGGAATCGTTTTTGCACATAGTTCACATGTTTTTTAAAAAAATAGTTACATGTTACACGTCCATAGCGGAGAGGAGATATAAACTGAGGTTAGGAGAGTTCGGCTGCGTTGAAACGGTGCATTCCAAGCGAGAGGAGAGGTCGGCGCGTACTCACGAGCCCGACTACGACCGAGAGGGACATTTGAACAGGACCGGATTGAGAATATTTCAGTGGGCTTTGTTGACCGGGGAGTGGAATCATGTTCAAAATGATATTATTGTTCCACTAAAGGTTTTGTTATTGATTGTTGGCAATACCACGAAAGGCAAAGTCAAAAAATGAATATCGAAAATTTCTCTTGTATTTGAACACATGTTCGTATAAAGTTTCATATTGTAACATCCATTTTAGCATAAGCCACATTAAACATAAATAATTGTTGAATTGCTTGTAATATGTTACTCGGTTGTTATATTATACGATCACTGTATGTTGAGTTAAAAATGGCATGTATTTTTACTCTAATTTCAACCAAGACAAAGGTTGAACTTTTCCTTCCTTGATAAACTGGATCTTCTTTTGCCCGGCCGCCTTCTTTTGTGGCTTTTCAGTTTTCTTAAGTGAGACCCTTGAGCTTTTTTCATAGAAGAAGTGAGGATAAAACACACCTGTCTTGGCGCGACGAATTTCATCAGAAAAGGTTTTCTGATTATGGATAGTTTATAAATTTAAATGAAATACACAAAACTGTATTGAGCCTCATTGTGCCTAATTAGGAAGCAATGTCCAATAACAATACGGTTGCGATTTCTGTTTTAAAAAAAATCTGTTTTTCCGTTAATCAGCTGTCGCCCCCATACGAACGACAAGTCTCAAAAGTTGAGAAACTTGTGCGAGCTAAGGACTAACGAGGTCTTACCTTTCAACGTGTGATTCCTAACACAGTTGCAGAATCATTCCAGCTTCAACCATATAAATTCTGTCGAGAAAAATATCTGGTCGAGACGGGAATCGAACCCACGGCCTTCCGATCGTGAGTCGAGCGCACTACCACCGCGGCCAATTGCAAACATATAATTATTGGAATAGGCAAGTGAATTATTATCTGCAGCATACGACCGTGAAAAGGAGGTGTCATTTTATGATTTTTCATTGCCAGAAGTGAGTTCCTGGAATAATATATTTTTTATTTTGAGTGACAGTATCTCCGGAAGTTGACCGGAACGCTAAACTTCAGATTCGTGATCAATGGGTATAAGATGGAATTCTGAATCTAAAAATCTTGGACCCTCATGACTTATCTTATTTGACAAAAAAATAAGGAAATTAATTGCACATGATTTTTAAAATTTTTTACAAATTATTATTTCAGAAATCACATGTGATTCAGAAGAAAGTTCTCGCACGACATATTCACTCATTTTTCAATAATCATTCATCAGGTTATCGTTGAATTGAAGATACTGCCGTTTTCTAATTACTAAAAATATGATTTCGTACAAATATGGCGTTATTTTCAAAGTGGACGTGTAAGTCGACATTCCCAAAATGTCCAACCTGAAAGTCTCAGGCGCTTGGCTCAAAGCCCGAAAGACTTTATGGCTATAGCCACTGAAATCTTTTCTGACCTTTAATTTACCATAAACACACGAGCACCAATATCGATCTCTCTCGAAAGTCCAAGGAGAGAAAGAGATAGTAGTACTCCAAGTGCAAACTAATAACGGATGACGGAAACTAACCTTTCTGTCATATGTTCATGATTTGTTATTATTTAGGATATTGATGATTCAGATTAAGCCACTTTTGATGTAGCTGATTTGATTGATTTGTTTCAATGAAGTAGCTAAAAATTTAAGAATTGTTGCGGTGATGAAGAAAAAAGGCGTAACCAGCTTTCGACTGTATTTGTAATAAAGTATCAGACGGATATGCTACATTTTCACCTATTTCACACATAAATCTAAATTTTTTTTAAAAAAGTCGTCAAATTTTTATTGGGAATAGATCAGATATTTCACTTTGGGTGATTCAAGTTTTACACATAGTCAGGTAGTAAATATTCACCTTGAAATTATATACAAATAGCAGGACTTTGATATCTTCTTCTTAGTCAATAGTACCTGATATTATACCAGAATTCATATCATCTCGTTCCTCGAAGTTTATCAAGGCATTCTTGTTGTTAAGAATAGCTACTTTTTGACATGCTTTTTTCCCACAGAAGTTTATACAATTTAAAGGAAAGTCATTGGTGGTAATCGTCCAAATATTTGTTAATGCTGCCATTTATAGTCAGTTGATACTTTGATGTCCAATATTCAAGGCAAATACTACCACATTCTTTCTCTTCGAAGGTGTTTCTCCATCGCACTTCCAATGAACGTCCTGAGTTAGTTGGGATAGATCCATGGCTACTTCCGAAAAGTAGTAGATTCAATTATATTTCGAAAATCTTCCTCGAATCGAATATTTCCAAAAAAGTTTTCGAAACTTCAGTGTCCCAACTTTTTTGTGCATAGCAGTCGATTACAACTGCAGATATTGCATTTATCGACATTTCACTTGGAACCAATTTTCATAATCGTAATTCTTCTGTGTGAACTCCTTTATATTACTCCTCCTGCTCCGTGAACTGTCTTTGCACCAAATTATTTCATCTATATCTTTCATTGTTCATTTTATTAGAAATTCTCCCATAATCTAATTGTCTCTACGATTTATTTTGCAAGTTGAAACAATATCACTAAACCGTCTCTGGTGCGGACTTCTCCTTCATCAACAATTCCATTTCTCATTATCATAAACGAGTGGCGATAATGTCCTTCTTTGTCTTTCGAGCTGGCAAAGAAAGAGAGAGGATAGAAGACACGTGAATACCGAAGGCGTCGAAATGTATATACGTATAGTGCGTGAGCGCGTTTGTCAGATGTAATTATCATTCATGGAATGCTAGATTTGATATGAGTACGTGACTTAATGGGAATATGAACACATTAAGAATGAACGAATCTCTCGTCGAGAAATGTATTATATCGACTGCGAATCAAACTAAACGGCATTTTTTTTTATCAAATCCAAAAAACGAATGTTCAAAAACTTAATGAATTTTGAAGTAATACTTCATACTTCAAACCATAAATTGCCCAACAGATAAATCCATTTACAGGACAATACAATGACTGTTCTACAACTGAAAAAAAAGGTACAACACATACCTAATTACATTCCATAACAACAAATATTCAGCGTGCGAGTGCGAATACAGTATAAAAAAGAGAAGAGGAAGAAGAGACACCAATAAAATGTTATCTCGAAAGTTATATATACTTGGATAAGCACTTTTCAAGACTCTTCTCAATGAATAAAACTGAATGAAACAATCTTGACAATATTTGTTAAAATTAGACCAGAAATATCAGTGAAATAACTCCCAAGGATGGATCGGTCGATTTTCCAACAGAAAGGGAACGACTGTAAGATCGTTGAAAAACTTTATAATCTTTGTCGAGGCAGTTGGGACGTTGTTTAACTTCAATAGCTTCGCTGATTATCCTAGCTTGAAAAGTTTTTCCAATAGCAATGGTTTTATTATTTTTGAAGTTTGTTGTGTGGTCTGTTTCAAGATGGCTGATCTGAGAAAAGGCTGGATCTGGTTTATTGAGAGCGACAGCAAGCTCAACTATATAGGCTCTGTTGGAGACTCTTCTGTTGGTCTGGCCGATGTAAGTTCTGGAGCAGGTGGAACAAGGTATTCCGTATATGCCCTATACCTCATTGGGTATCAAAAGTCCTTAGGTGTTCGTGAAAAAGTGGAAATTTTCCAGTAAATACTGTCCTTAGAACAGACTCATTGTCAACCAGAACAAAACGGTATACATGCAATTCGCGAATTCATCGATAATCTCAATCTCAGTTTCCAAAATAAACCTTTAGAACTGATCATCTCGACAAAATTCTTAGGAACTATGGTTGACTCACTCCTCACATGGCAAGAACATATAGATTATATATGTAAGAAATTGAATCAATCATACTATCTGATGAAATCTCTTGAGTGCAAGTTAGATACAAATTCACTGTTTAGTTTATTATGCCAAATTTCACTCGATCATGTATCAGAACATTTCGGTCTGGGGACTAGCTACTGGATCAGACAGGATTTTTATGAAACAAAAAGCACTGCTGAGATTGATATTTAATTTAGACTTAAGAACTTCATGTAGAAATATATTCCAACAAAATAAAATATTGAAAGCTGCAAGTCTGTACATTTTAAAAACATTGACATATGTACATGAAAATAAAGAACTTTTCCAAACAAAAACAGAGATGCATAGCTATAATATAAGAATCTCCTAAATTTGCCGGCATTCGAATGTATAATTTACTGTCAAACGATATAAAGACTCTGTCTCCTCATATCTTCAAAAAAAAATTGAAACGTTATTTATCTGAAAAGGGTTTTTATACAGTAGACGAATTTACACTTAAAGTAAGCAATGAGCGATCGTATTTCTTTTGAAAAGTTTATTTCAAAATGTCCTTGTTACCTCTCCTTGTTTATTGTTTCTAAGCAAGCTGGTGATTCATATTTTTCCTTTTTTTTTCTATTTATATTTAAATAATGTATTTGTACCACATCTTATTTGATGCCTGGACAAAATTATTTTTACCTATTGTGAAACCTATTTACTTGCATTCTATCTAGACCTAGAATTTTATTTATATGTTTGTTTATACCTTTGTATGTTTATATGTATGCATGTTTATAACTACAATTATGACTTTTCCCATCTACATATTATGTAGCAAAAAGGATCAATATATCTATCTATCTATCTTTGTCGTGCCTCATCAGAATTTGAATTGTCGTTGTCGTTGTCGATGAATCCATGAACATAAGGAAAAAGCTTTTGAGTGGTCAGTAATCACGCAATTTGAGTTGAATTGGATCTTTGAATTTGGTTCACGAAATAATCGCTTTGGCAGTGAGTCTGACAGATCTGTGTATGGGATAGTTCAAGTTGTGTAAGACAAGGACATGTTATAATTAATAGGAATCATTATATAATTTCCGTAGTTTAAAATATTTTAAATATTTGGTAATTGTGGTTGATAAATGTTTTC